TTTTTGTACAGTTTATTTATTTTAAGGCCACACTCGGTCCACAACAAATTTTCGTGGTTTATAATTTAGGTTGGACTTTTGTTCCTCCTACTTTCATTAATTGACACATATACAAAGGCATCATTCACAAAGTTATTTGGTGCTAAGCGTTGCGTGAATTTTGCACAGTATAATGTATATATATATCGTGTTGTAATAATTATTTGATCTGTATATTGGGTAAAGCCCATTGATGGATGAACATTATGGATCCGCACTGTTTCTAATAAAGACATTTATCTAATTCAAATGATTGCTTAAATAGACGACTAGCAATTAATTAATGTTGATTAATATATAAACTTAACATAATACAGTAATTTTTTTTTATTGTAAAATCAAAAATATTATTATATTTGTCATATTAAAAGAGCTCGATTAGTACTATTTTTTAGCATAGCATTATATTGTATTTGAAAATCAGAATGCTCATTAAAATTGTATATGCTGTACATGTGATTTATTGTAAGGTATTTAACGTAGAAACACAAAAGATGAAATGATATTATTGCATGTACTGTATGTGTAAATGTTAGTTACTATGCATACATGGCTTCGTACTATGGTACAGTATATCAAATTCAATATACCACTAAAATTTGGTCGAAAGATTTAAATCAAATACCTTTTAAAGTCCACGAATAATACTATTACAAGTCTTAATAAATTACATGTGACAATAATAACATAATAAACCATAATATTGAAACTTAATGTCCTTAAGAATTTTTGGAAATTGTCCTTATTATCCCCAATTATGCTCCCACTATAACATTGCATCGAATCGAAATTGAATATAGCACACTACCAATTCCCTCAACCACATCACTCGTTTTCCGCTGGATCATCAAAAATTTTTTCAAACGCTTTGCTCTGAATTTTAATCTGGTTCAATTGAGGAGACAAGATATTTCGATGTTGATTCATCATCACTTGATCCCATTGTTGTAAATCTTTTCCACATCTTGTCCAATGAACTGTTTTATCATGCACATCTCTTAGCTTTTTTATCATACTGGTTTGTCGTTGAATCGCCTTTTGTAAATCCTTAATAGCGACATGTCCCACTACCAAAACTGATGTTCCCACTGCCCCCAAACCAGTAGCAAATAATTTCTATTTTTCAAGGTAATTTTGAAAATAGATAAAATGGAGGTTTGTTGTAACACATGTAAATGACATGTTAACTAAAAATACATAGGATGTGTGTGAATTATACCTCGCTTTTGGTAATTTCTTGTCTGTTATATAATTTATATAAAAAGTATCCAGTCCCTAGAATCGCTTCTACAAAAAACCGATCATCAATGTCACGGTTATAGAACGAACGTTAGCATGCTAATCATTCAAGCGGGGGAGACCCCGGCGCCAAGTCACCTTGGCTCAGATGTTTCAGAAGGATGTTGCGGGTTGTGTTGTGATCCCTGTCAATCTCAAAATTACATCGAGCGCACTTGTAAACCTTTGCATCACCGAGATTGTCCTTTGTCCTTAATGTTTCCACAATTCCGCACGTCTTGGATGTGTAATGCTCATCACAAAGTATCAACAATCGACCAGGTTACCCTTCGATCTTGTGCGCGAGATGATGTTGGAACTTGTAATGCAACCATATCAACATCATCTTCGTGGTCATACTCTTAATCTTTCAATTGATCATCAGACTCGAGACTTGAATCTTCTTTTTTCTCACCATGTTTTCGGTTTCAAATCTTAGAATAATGGTATTATATTTCTAACATATCGTCTGAAAACGTGCGCAATGTCTCCTTTACCCATTCAATAATCTTTCCATTGTGATCATATGCCGTCATGAATGTGCGTACGCCAGGATCAATCGAGATCAATCGAGATAAAATCACTATATTCTTGATAATTTTCTTCCAAAGGTACGCACATGCCTCCTACGAAGAGTGCTCGTAGATATTCCCTAACTCTTTTGAATCTTGTTTGCAGGTTGATGATAATTCATGCGTGTTTTGGGGGGTTTTTATATTGTTTTTTTACACTATGATGCATTTTGAGATAGACAGGAAGACTTTTTCACGACCTTTACATCTTCTGAAACACTTTGTCATATGATTTATCAACTCACCATGACGAAAATGCACATAAAGCGTAAATGCTACGAAATGAAGGAAATGGTGAATACGCGTCGTCACAGAACATAAAATAATCTTATGCATCATGTAAAACTCACCATTCAAACATTACGTATTTCAAAAAATTTATGAATATCTAGTTAGTATTATACATGATAATAACTTTGAAAGTAAATATTGGACTTTTGTTCACCTGTACTTCCCATAATACTGTTAAAATTGGATTTTAAAAAATGATGTCAATTAAGAAATTCGTGGGTGTAAGACCTACAGTACATCCGAAATCATATGCTTACTTACATGGCAGAAAGCCACCAGGCGGTGGTTGATTTTTTTTCCTGAACCTGTAAAGCCTCGATTGCACTGTTGTATTCTAATGTTGTGATTTTAATAGTCTCTACCAATCCTTCCGCGGCGATTAAGAAATTTACGAGTCGCGCTATTTTAAGGGAAAACATTAATGTCAATATATTCGCACGTAACAACCATTAAGATTAAAACAAAAATAATTTGATTATCATATACTTTGAAATTTATTGTATTGCGCTTCGTCAAGATCCTCTTCAAGAACTTTCAACATATTCACAAGCCAGAGTTCCATATTATTCAGATATTTTAAAAATATGTATTTCTTTTCTTTAAGAATTTCTCTAAACTTTTCGTCACTTTCTTTTAAGACTTGATAGGATTTATGAATTGTGCGCATGGTGTTAATAAGGTTCCACAACGTAATGGCAAGACGAAATCTTGGATCCGTTATCTAAAAACAGTAAAATGTCTCGATTTTCAGAAAAGAAAAGAAAGAAAAAACTCATACTTTTTCAAAATATGCCTGATAACTTACCAATTTTTTCTTAAGTTTTTCATCGAGAAATTTTTGTAAATACGATAAAATAGTAAAACATAGGGCATTTTTAGCCTCTTTCAAGTCGCTGATATCATTCGAATCATCCGATTTGGGAAAAAATTGTACAATATTCAACTGGCTAAAGAATTCGTCCTTAATGTCATAAAGATTTACGCTTGTATCTTTTTTCTCAAATGCAAAATAGAATAAATAGTTCAATTTAGCATCATCAATTTCTTTGCGTTCTGATTTCACTTGTTCCGCCAAGTTTTTCAACTCGTTAATCAAACCTTCCTCGTCGATTTCCGGGTATTCATTGTCATCGTCGGAATAATCGGTGGTAAATGAGGAAAGTTGACTATAAGAATCTCCATAAACCAATTGGTTGGTTATTTTGTCAGCTGGTACCCAGTCACGAAGACCATTACCAGAAATGTGGGAAAGGTTTGGTGACGCTCGTTTCAAATATTCAATCAAATCGCTATGAGTCTTATTGAAGAATTTGAACCTGACCTAATATTATTGATATTTAGTTCATCATAACAAGATGACATACACAAAAAAATCATGTTAGATAGGATTCGAACCCTGACGCTTTCACCATCGTAATCCGACGTTTCGACTTCATAAGAATTCCTATCCTCGGGTGGAAAGATGATGTCAATCAAGAAATTAACATCGATTGGTCCCTACGTGAAAAAATTTCCATTCATCAACTAATTTTGTCTACATGAAAACTTTATAGAGTTCGGATAAGGTAAAGGGTGCATATATGCCTTTAACTTGAAAATTTTGAAGGAAGAAAATAGGTTTCCTTTATTCGCCGTTTGCTGGAGTTCGTTATTTTCTAGCAATATGCATCTATTGTCACGATAGACGGCAATTGGTTCGGCGACTGGAAGACTTTGGCCCGGATGTGTGATCATGGTTTTAAACGCTCAACTTCTACAGAGGTTACCTTTCGTAGAAGCTGGCTGTCCCTATTTATATGTTCGTATGCATCAGGATGCAAATATGATCAAAAATAGAAATTTGTAATACAAAGATAACACTAATTACGTGAACGCTTTTGTTTCCGTTTCTGAAATGTATTTTCTCATACTAGTTTAAACGAGTTAAGCATGTCAACCAGATTATGTGAATATAATTTCAAACTTGTTCTTTATTTTCCTAATTACTGTACACAAAAAACATACTAATTAAAAATTTTTTTATATCGATTTTATTATAAACATATTCAATTAACCAAAATATTTGTTACAAGTTAATAATCTTTTATTTTTTTTTTTGATTTGTATAATAGAGAGTATACTGTACATTATGAAAGAAACAAAATTGCTCATATGTAAGTATAATAAAATTAAATGTTAGCCGAAATTTATTGAAAAGAAGTTTTAAAAAAAATATTTTGTTAAATAATATTAAGCAACTACTGTATAAAATATCGACTCAAAGTTAGAATATAAGAGATTAAAATAATCAGATATTGGTTTGAAAATACAATTAAAAAAATTATAATTGTATTAAATAAGTTAGCAAAAGTTGTATCTTGAAATATATTGATTGAAATTGATTAAACTATAATTTATATACTTGAAATTTTATTTTAAATTTGTTAATTAAAAAAAAAGTACTAAATATTTTTGCTTTATTTAAATTCCAATAAATAAAAAATACTGGTTATATTATAACATGGTTTAAAATATAATTGTCAATTGATATTTTAATTCAGTTACTAATATTTGAAATAAAAAAAATATTAATAATATTATATAATAGTTTAATTATTTGTTATATTATATATACTATAAGTTATTAATTTTTAATTTCTATTTTAAGATAAATAAATAAAAATAATCTTTCTTACAAATTACAAAATTTCCAAAAAATTCTTTTTTATAATATACAAAATATCCAAAAAAATATTTAAAAAAAATATTTAAAGATAATATCTATAATATTCATCAAAAAAAAATATCTTACTATTTCTTTTTTTTTTTTCTATAATTAAACAAGTATTTATTATATTTATTTAATCTTTTAAAAGAAAACATAATTGTACTTATATAGACTTTTATATATAAACTAATTACTTATACTTGAATATTCTTCATAAATATTTAATCTCTAAATATAATCTTGAAAATAAATAAAGTTGCTTCCTCTTGTTTTCCTTTCTAAGAAAACTTAAGTTTATTGCTTACAATTTATTATTATAGTTTATCTTAACAAAATCTTAATTACTTTATATTCCTAACTATTTTTTTCTCTTTTTTATTCTATCTCAAAATATTTTTTTAGTTCTAGTATATAACTTAAATCAACTGATATTAATTTAATTGCTATTGTTTTTGAATTAAATAAGTTTTGATGGATTTTTTTTTCCTAAAAGTCTTATAAATAAATTGATCTCTATCTGGATAAAGCAATTTTTTTGTTTTTGCTTTTTTTTATAATTATTATATTACAATCTTTATATATATAATAAATAAGTTAATGTAACCTATTATAATTTTTTATCTAAATACCAACTTACATCTCATGGATATGTCCATATTCAAGTTTTTGCTAAAAAAGATGATATAATTTAATTGATATGGTTAAAAAAATCAGGTTTTAAGTATGCTGAACCTGGGAATCAGTTTGTTGTCATGGTATAATCTATGGATCTTTTCCATAATGGACCTTGTTTCCAATATGGCATGATCGTCTTGTACCAATCTTTTAAAAAAAGTAAGCTGATTGTAATTTTTGATATGAATAGAAATTGGAAGAATAAACAAGAAGATCAATTTCATGAAAATTCTTCTTGAGTATATATAAATAATAGAAAGTCGGATATCTAGAATAAGAGCACTTGTCTAGTATATATAATACTTCTGACCAAATATTTCAGGCAGGATCAAGATTTAGTCATGCAAGATCTTATGTATATGACCTATTGTGTTAGAGAATTTCTATCTTTAATGACCTACTGTATCTCTTCATATATTTATAGACTTCAGTATAGAGGTTAGTAACTATTAAAAATATTTTTGGCAGCTTTTGTATAAGAATTACAACTTCCAGTCAAAGTAATTCCATCATGGCCTTTTTCAAGTTAAGCTCTTTTAAACAAAAAAAATATATATATGATTTATTTTTTATTTATTTAAAAATTTTACTTTAATACCCATAGGTCATATTATAACAACAAACTGGTTCCTGGGTCCAGCATACTCAAAACCCAACTTTCTTAGCCATATCAATTAAATTATATCACCTTTTTTAGCGAAAACTAAATATAAATACACCTATAAGATATAAGTTAGTATTTGGATAAAAAATTACAATAGGCTACAATTAATTTACTTACTATATATGTAAAGATTATTAATATAATGGCCATAAACTAAAGTTTAATAAATGTCTCATATTTAATGCCTGTTTGCAAAAAAAAAAATTTACTTCAATTTTCATACAATTGCTAATACCTATTAATAAAAAATTAACTTTTGAACAAAAGTAGTTATAATTTATGATTATAAAAAAAAAGATATCTTTTATAATATTGCAGCCAATATTGAATATAAAAAAAGTGTGGTGGATAATATTATAAAGCATTTTATTAAAATTGGATTTATAGAATTAAAAACATGATAATTGGAATAATTGAAATGACTATGACTCCTTAATAAGTATGCTTGTATCACTCTCAAAAAACTAGTTACTGGCAAAAAAAGTAACAGATATATAACTACTATAAAACTAATCAATCTTTTTATAATTAAAATAAAAATCAAAGTATCTAAAAAAATCATCTGTCAAATCCTATATAAAGAATAGTTAAGAAACTGTATTATCCATTCCAAGCTCTTCTTTTCAAAAAAAATATTGAAAACTGACTTATTAGATGTAACAATACTGACTATAACTATGCCATAGGACCCTTACTGCGCCCTGTAAACCGGATGTCTCAGAAGGTACCTAATCTGCCCTAATAACCTGCAAGTCTAAGACATGTTCCCAGACGATAGTCAGGCACATGTATGATGCGATTCTGATCCCTGACAATGTGACACATCACCAAGCACCACTAATTAATTACTATAAGTTAATGTAACCAAATTAGAAGCATAAGGCCATAGAGTGTACATATCTTTTTCCTTTTATTTCTTTCTATTTACTTTTTTATTTCATTATGTTAATTAAGTACATATGTCTTTAGAGGTTAAGCCCAATATAGATATATGTATTTTTATATTTATTTATTTATGTATTTTTATGTTGAATGAAACTGACATGTATAAAAGGATGCTCTTTTGATCTTAATAAAATTCCAACTCTAATGGCATTTAATTTACAATCACTCAAATTCACTGTTTTTTTAAATTACTAATAATTTATTCAAGACTTTTACAACTTGATAGCAGTGGATTCAAAGAACTTTCCTCTTGCAAAGAAATCCCAAGTGAAACTCTGCCAAAATGGATGCCACCCAATTTGCAACGTTCATAAGGATCTTCCAAGAAATCCTGAAAACTCTTACAATAGAAAAGGGAAAGCAACCTGCTGGATCAAGTTCTTCAACCACTACCACTGCTGCATCTAGAATATCTTTGAGAATCCCTATGTTCAAAAGAGAACCTGGGGAAAATGTGAAAGTCTGGCTGCACCAAACAAAGAATATTCTACATGTACAAGAAGTCAAAGAAGAAGAACAGATGGTACACTATGTTGCTACGGGATTCGAGGATGCCACCCTTTATTGATTTGTTAACAAAATTAAGAATTCTATCACCATCACTTTTACTAAATAGGACCAGTTCAAGAAAGAACTCTGAATCACTTTTCAACCCCACACTATCAACAACATTTGCATCGCCAACTTAAAACTCTGCTTCAAACAGGAACTGTGCAGGAATACGCCTCCCAATTTAGAAACCTGGTAAGTCAAATTGATGATATGTATCAATTGGACCGAGTTGCCTATTTTGTAAAAAGATTGAAGCCTGCGATCAAAATAGAAGTAAGTTACAAGTTTCCAGAAACCCTTGACGAAGCCATCCAAATTGCTAGCTAATATAATACTGTCATGTTTGGCCTGGGATGACAGACAAGAAAATTTACTATCCAAGGATACCAGTCCTAAGGAAGAGACCAACGATCCAAACCAATTCCAATGGAATTAGACCGTACTGAAACCTATAGGAAACCATATATCAGCAGCCAACATCAGAAGAAACAAGTAAAATGCTACAATTGTGAAAAGATAGGTCACTACGCCTGAGACTGCTGATCAAAGAAAACTGAAACTAAAGTCAAAATTACTGTAATAGAAGAACAATCCACTTTCCCAGATACTGTTTTATCCATATTGAAGAAAATCAAAAACAACTACTTCATTTTAATGGAAAGATTGATAGACATTTCGCTTGGATCCTGCTGGACAATAGGGCCTCCAAGAATTTTATTAATGAGAAATTTGCTAATTAACAATGATTACTAAAAGAACCAATCAAAACCTTTACTGTGGAACTGGCTGATGGATAAAAGAAAGAAGTCTTTACCAAAGTAAAGATCAAGAAGTTGAAGTTAAACCAATACCGCACCTCTGAAATTTCTGCTCAAGTTTTGAATCTGCAATGATATAATGCCATTTTAGGAAAGCCTTGGTTGTTTCAAGTCAATCCCAATATTGATTGAAGAATCAATATCTTATTCTTCCCAAATGGATCACACCACATCACTATTAGCACTAGTACCAACCGAGCTAACAAGAATCCCATGTATAATTCTATTTTTATTTTCAGACATCAACTTGCCAGAATACCAGCTAAAAAAGAACTGTATGCTGTATGTATCATTTCGGATAAAGATGCTACTGAAGAAACCAAACCCTCCTTAGAAGAAGCTGTGATTATTAAAGAATTTGCTAATGTTTTTT